GTTGTAGCTCCCCCTTATAGTTTATGCTTTATTTTCTTTCTATACTGTATTTCATTAATAAAATACACTGATCATCACCCTCCTGTCCCATCAAATTACTGGAGGGTCTTTTAAGGGTTTGTTTATGATTTTCATTAGGAATGGGAAAGAATACCATGTTTACTTGCTTTCCACACACATATACTGAAAGAGAGCGATGACTTTTTTTTCTTTTCCTTCCAAACTTATCAGTAACAGTGACTAAATGAAGAAGATTTGGTAGGATAGGCTGAATCTCTAGATGACCCCATTTGTACAAATTTTAGCATATGACTTCAGGTTTCAAGGTAGTTTTGATGTCACAGAAGTTCTGCTGTATCTCCAGCTACCATATCCATATTCCAGGCAAGAACAGGGCTTGAGTCAGCCCTGCCAGAACCCCACCAGCAGCCACACAAATAAGGAGTTTTCCTGGAAGTCCCATAGAACACCTTCCATCCACATACCATTGGCCTATACTTAGTAACCCTAATCTGCAAGGAAGCCTGTAAAGCTAAATTTTTCACAAAATCAGGTTTCTGTTACTAAGAAAGAAGGGGAGAAAAGGAATGGAATAAGCAACTAGCATTATCTGCCTCATTTTCTTTTTTAGCATGTTTCCTTAGATGAAGTGTGAGCTCATAGACAGCTAAAATTATGTCAAATTAAGTTTTGTAATCTCAGAACCAAGGGCAATACCATAGCTTATTTTGTGTTTTATGTGTTCATTAATTATGGAAACCTTAACTAGTTATAGGTAGAAGAAGATCAAAGAAAAGTATAACAGGTGATTAGGTGGCATCAGTTTATTTCATTTATATTGTCATTCATTCATTTAATTATGATTTCAACTAATATTAACTGAGTTCCCAGTTTGCGCCAGGCCCTGTGTTAAGTGTGGGAATACAATAAGTACAACATAGTTCCTGACTTCAAGAAGCAGGTAGGGGTGAGGTTGGTGGAGAAGAGTGAGAGCTCCACAAGCAAAGGAGCAATTTCAGGGCAGTGTGGTAAGACAACTGAGAAGTGGTCCTGAACCACTCACCACCGTTTGAGAGGTTAGGAAGCTGTAAGAAGTCTGGGTGAAACACAGGGAAGGGAAAGAAGTATGGGAAAAGAAGGAAAGATAGGTGGAGTTAGATTATAAAGAAATGGTAACAAGAGACAAAGATGGGCATTTCATGATGATAAAAGGAACAATACATCAAGACATATACTTATCGATATACATACTCTCAATCAGGGACCACCAAAAAATATAAAGAAACTACTAACAGAACTAAAGGGAGAAAATGACAATACAATTAAAGTAGGAGACCTAAATACCCCATTGACAGCTATGGATAGATCTTCTAAATCAATTAGGAAATAGATAATAAAGAAACTGATAAGTTATATGCAAAACTCCATAATTTATTCCTCTCAGCACACATGCCTATTTGTTGTGACAAAATGTTTGCTTCTCCCTTGGACTTCCTCATGAAGGGATTTCCCAACACTTCACCCTTGATGAATCTGATCCACTGACAAGCTTCTTGATTGGCCTAAATTGTAGTCACAACTGTGTTCCATGCACCATATCTAAGCATGGAGCGACTGTCTTCCCAGCATTCCATCTTACAGGGTGGTGTTCCCTGGTGCACAGGTTTGGGAATGCTGGTCTAGACATATATTTCTCAAACTTGGCAATATGACTTGCCAGGTATTTCCAGAGAAAGGGATTTATCGGCAGGGACTGCAGATATGAACTTGGTTTTCTTAGCATGCTAATACCTTGGGTTTGTTACATGGATCACTGGAGGGACCTATGATTTAGTTGAAGTAATAAGTCACCACTTCAGCAATCTTATAGTTAAATAAGTTATCCCAGTGACCATTTGACTAGTAATGGAGACACCGTCATCTCTTTCCATAAGTAATTTAAAATTCAATTCAGTTCATTATATATATGGCTAGAAATGTATCTACAACAATTCCTGTTTTCTTTGCCTATCTAGAGAACGAGATGCCCCCTAGCCATGAAGCAGAAGTCACAAGAAGAGGGAGATGTAAAGATGCTATGCTGCTGGCCTTGAAGACAGAAGCAGCAGCCAAGCCACAAGCCAAGAAATGCAGGTGGCATCTAGACTATGCAAAAAGCAAGGAAATGGATTTTTCCTTAGAGCCTCTAGGTTGAACACATCTCACAGCTTGATTTTAGGATTTCTGACCTCCAGAACTGTAAGATAACACATTCTTGTTGTTTTTAGCCATTAAGCTCCTGGTAACTTGTTTATACTTAGCAGTAGGGAACTATATATAACAATGTATCTCTAGGTGCTGTCCTTCCCTGTTCATTCCCATTGCTTTCCAGGTAAGTCTCTCTCCCTTGGTATCCTCTTTTCTGAATCGATCCTCTGATATTGCTTTCTTGAAAATTAAATTTAATGTGTCACAAGGCTTGAAGTACATGGACACCCACTGATTTCAAGTTAGGTTACTTTTTGGGAATATAATTAGAAACCAGAAATAAGGGTTGTTTACAAAGCCTGTCAGGGACATTTGGTGTGATCTCAGGAAGGCTTAACAGGGATGTGATTATAGCTAAGAAAGCTTAAAACAAATTGTACTATATGCTGAAGAAAGAATGTATTAACCACATGCAGTTGAGGTAGGGAAAAGGTTTTCCTGGGCTTATCCAGGACTGAACAAGGGTAAATTCGCTGACTTTGGCAGTCATCGGAAAGACACACTCTAGATTGGAGATGAGTATACCTCACCATGTACCTGGATCCCAGTGGACATGGCTATTCTATCATAATAAATTTCATCCTGATTTAAATGCTGGTCATGTGAAAGTTGGTTGTCATGTCAGTCAATTTATTCACCTCTGGATGTATAATAAAATCCATCTCAGGACCCGACTGGTAACCAACAGAAACTGGATTAAGTTTCTTCTACTAGGTAAGATACTGGATCCTGGTTTAACAACAGCAACACTACTCCTGCCAGCTATTGCCCACGCGTTTCAAGACCTCCACAAAAGAGGGATGACTATCTCAGCAAAAAAAGGGAGGAAAGTTCTCAGAAGGAAGGAGAAGTCAACATTGGGAAATGCTGCAAAGGGCATAGGACAAAACAGGGATTAAAATTTTCCTTATATTTGGCAATTAGGTGGTGACTGATGTTGTTCAGTGGAGTGAAAGGCTGACAAGGGAATGAGAATTTAGGAAATGTTAACATTAAAGCTGGAAAACTCTGAGAAGAGGATCCATACTATACAGAGTCATATTTAAATAAAATTACCCCACGTTTTACAATTGAATCATAGAGAACTCTTCTTGTCCCCAAATCCTCCAAAAGTTGATAGCCAAATTTGAGTTTTACCATTTCTCTCCTCAGTTAACCTCTGACGTAGAACTAATGAGCTGTGCAGTAACTGAAGGTCAAAAAACAGGAAAAAGAAACAAAAGGCCTACAAAACCAAACTTAATACAAACAAAACAAATCAAGCCCTGAGTAAGATGAGCTGTAACAAGTTGTGCTTCAAATTTAATATCCTTGTTTTGATGGGGGGCGGGGCGGGAAAGTCTGTAGAATTAAAAGGGGCATTTTATAATTGAAACGCTTTCTTGCATCTCACCCATTATCCTCACCCCATCTCCCTCCAAATTAATAGCTGTTGCTGAGTTGTGGGCATGTGTGAGCACAAGCTGGACCAAAGGCTGAATTTTGTCCAGCGGCTAGTAGAGTAATTGCATGCCATAAAAAAAAAAAAAAAAAAAAATGGAAGAGTGAAAACAACATACATATCTGTATTTCCAGATGAAAGTACTGTTTTCCTTACTTGACTATTTGCTCTGTTTAAAGGGGGAGGGGGGCAGGTTCTGAATCTGAGCCCAGCTCTTCCTAAACTTGGTTACTCACGTCTGATTCATTCTGTTTTTCGTCTCCTCTCTGTCATTGCCTGCTGCTGAGGAGGGGGTCGCTGAATCACTGTCGCTCCAGCGGAAAAGCAATTCAAACTCAGTCCTTGCGGTTGGAAGGGCTTTTTTTTTTTTTTTTCTTTTTAAATTATTTTTAAAGCGTCTGCGGAAAAAGCCTTTTTTGGGGGGGTGACCATAGAGGGCAGTTTTACAAGACTCACGCCAGGCTATGGAAGATTTTGCTGTTGTG